TCCAGCTTCCCGCCTCCTGCGATGGAGCAATGGTTTGAAACCTGGTCATGTGTGATGTGGCCACAGCAACAGCACACACCATGCGGCATGGCTGGGAGGGCACGGTGCACACAAGCTGGGCCTAAGTTTCCCGGCTGGCAGCGTAACTCGGCCGTCCGCACCTGCCCTCCATGCTGTGTCTGAGACCTCTGCGCGCTGCTCCCCGGGAGGCAGGCTATCATCACTCCGGTCCATGGTCTGAGATCCAGGGGCGCCCTCTCCAGAATAGCGGGTGGACATTCTGCTCAGCAGTGCACGTCTCTTGGCCGCCGCAAGCAGCTCCTGCATGGATTCCACAAGAGTCACACAGATTGCTTTCCCTGTCTCATGGAGATCAATGCATACGCCAGAACTTGCTCCACAGGCATGCAGGGAGGTGCCTCGTCCGTGCAACTTGCCTTGAGCAGACCCTTCTCCTCCATGTCAAGGAGGATGGCCGTGGCGGCAGACACGACGCCGGCATGGACATACATGCACTCGCCCTTGTGTGATTGCGCCTGCAGCAAGTGGTTTGCCAGCAGTTGCCACGTCAAAACGGTCCTTCAACATGCCACCGGCAGCTGGTGAGTCCATCACACTGCACGACAAGGCAGAACAACAGCCTGGGCCCTGCTCATCAGAAGCCAGTGAGTCGTACCTCCTGGACCCATGGGGGGAGCCAGTCAGACACGTCCACGGGCTGACTCAGCAGATCCGTGATGAGGTCCTCCATGCTCACTGTGGTGGCAAGGGCGTCGGTTACTCTTTTGGGGCTGCGGTCTTGCCGGTCATAGCAAGCAGGTAGCTGGCCCAGCCGTTGACCTCCACCACTCAGCTCACCGGTGCCCCTGATGGAGATGACCAAAGAGTTGCTGGGCCTGTGGCGCATCACAAGGTAGGGCAGGGCGCCCCCAGAAGTGTTGGCGTCTGCGAAGGTATGAAGGCCGAGACGATTTGTGGGGGTGGTGGATGGGACCATGCTCAGGCACAGCTGCATCATACGTCAGAGGCTTCCCCGCGTAGCTGCTCACATGATACAAACAACAGGTCTGAGGCGTCCGATCCTGTGTGGAAAACGTGCAACAGGATCCACTGAGCTATTCCAGACTGCTCATACGTATCCTATGCCCCTCATTCGTCCAAGACCTTCTGCGGCCGTGCCGACAATGTGAACGCTCACTTCACGAGACCCGCCAGCTTCTCACCTGTGACTTCCAGGATGGCTTCGCAGTTCCGCTGTCTGTACGAGTCCTGGAGTCGAAACACCTTGCTCATGCACTTCCGGAACAGGGTTATGTTGGCAGCACAGGTGGGTGGACGCCTGCAGATGGGGAAAGCCCAGGTGCGCATCAGAGGTGGCCATGAAGCAGTCGTCGAGCTCGTGGGGCCACGGTGCTCATCCACTGGCTTGCAGGGGACACAGCAATACACCCCTCTCTACTGACAGCAAAGTATCAAATCGCTGACCACATCTAAACCTCGCTCACTTTCCCCGTCCCCATGCGATGTTCTGCAGCCCATACGCCGCAATGGCGTACAGGGACATACTCTGGGCCTGCCTCAGCTGCTGCACAGGAACATTCTCCCTGAGCCCTGTCATGCGAGGGATGTGGTGCAGGCCATGCAGATGCATTGGCAAGCAATGAGGCTCGAACACCCACACAACAGCCCAGCAAAGAAGATTTCTAGCAACGAATTGCCGGTGACAGAGATGGATGTTGTACATGGAACAAGTGATCCTGGTACCTAGCATGACCAGCTCCCTCTAGCCCATCGCACACCACCACACACCCGAGTAGATGTCAGCCGCTTCCTGTGGCGTGAGGTGGTCGCAGTACACGGCCGGAAGGCAGACTGGGGTGATGATGGGCGCGTACTGGTAGGCCAGGGTTATCCTGGTCCCCAGCTGCTCCCGCACCCACTTCAAGCTAGGGGAGTCTGTCCCTGACATGGCATCATCAAAGCGCCCGCCCTCCTCCAGCGCCACCTCATCCAGCTTCATCATCGTGCGCCGATACATGGGCATGACACGAGATGTCCTGGAACTGAAGGGTGAAGGGGGCAGGTGCCAGCTCACAGACCGGTGGGCCCTGGGTTCTGGAGTCTGGCTCAACTGCCCGCCATCTCGACGCTGAGACCCCTTGATGAAGGCGCCCTGCCTTTGCATGTTTGTGACGTACCCTGCACGCGATGGGGGAAGTTATGGGAGCGCCAGAATGGCCCAGTTCGCCGCCAGGATTGAAGTAAAAGTATGCAGTGGGCAACATGCAACACCCAGTGGGGCGCAAAGCACCTCAAACCCCGCACCGGCTCTGCTCAGCATGTGCCGCATATTGCGCTGCCGCTGGTCGCTCTGGTGCTCCGCCACAAGGAGGGCTGCAAAGAGCCGGTCGGTGGGGTCGAGGTCGATGCCTCCAAACAACATGTTCAGGCTCTTGGCAATCTCACGGGAGGCCGGCTCTCTGGAGCCGTGGAGGACAAGGTGCGGCTTGTCATGGGAGAACTCACTGACTTGCGTGTGAAACCGGGATGAGCATGGATCCACCATCTTGACATCAGGCAGCTTGCAAATGGCGCCCCCGAGTGCAAGTGCCCAAGGCTCCCCACAGCCCATCTCACGAAGTGTCCAGCACAGCCTCCTGCATGATGGAGCCACAGCAACAAAAGCGGCTCATGTGTCGCAGGCTGCCCTCCCAGCTGTCAACCTCGGTGTAGTCCGGGAAGGAATTGAAGGCCACCACCACGAGGATGCTGCATTGGGGGAGCAGGAGGGTGAAGGGATGAATGCATTGTCCGGTCTGTGCAAGTCGACCGCAGCAATTTGTGTGCCGCCTTCCTCCCCCCCTTCGTTGCTCCTACATACACTTGAAAAGCCAGGATGCCCCAACTTGTCCACACCAGGCCCTCAAAGAAAGCTTTGCGGTTGGATGGGTCAGGGAGCCTGAGCAGGATGTCCCACTCTGTGCACTCATCCGCAGCCCTGATGGACAAGGGGGGGGAAA